CGGGGGGCCCCCCCCGGGGGGCCCCCCGGGGGCCCCCCCGAGGAGTGGGCGAAAGGTCTAGCTCAAGCCCCTGCAGCAGCAGCAACTGCTGCTGCTGCTGCTGCTGCTGCTGGCTAGCTGCTGCAGCAGAAGCTGACGCCTCCGTGGCCCGCTGCTGAGCAGCCCGCAGCTGCGCCTGCGCAAACCCCAGACCCTAAACCCTAAACCCTAAGCCCTAGATTGCGGCGCCAGCGCCTCGCAAAACTGCCTCCCCGCCGCGAAAGCCCCTAGGGTTTAGGGTTTAGGGTTTAGGGTTTACCTGGAGCCTAATTATGGTTTGGTCTTTAGCAGCTAGCTGGCTAGCCATGAGCTTTTCTCTGAGCTGCTGCTGCTGCTGCTGCGCACGCAGCCTGGCTTGCTGCAGCTGCTGCTTCGTCTTCTCCCGCAGCCGCTGCTGCTGCTGCTGCTGCAGCTGCGAGCTCTTCAGCCGCAAACCCTCAACCACCGACACAAGATCCATGCCCCCTAATCGCAAACCCTAAACCCTAAACCCTAAACCCTAAACCCTAAACCCTGATTCTGCGTGCGAGCGACCGCCGCTGGAAGGGCTGCCAAGGGAGAGCAGCTGCGAGAAAAACCTGAGACTCTAGAGCCTAGGGTTTAGGGTTTAGGGTTTAGGGTTTAGGAACCTGCGAGGGTGTTTGCGAGGTGGTGGTAGCGCTGCATGCCGCCAATAAGGTCTCCCAATTCGCTGTTGATTTCGTCAGCAGCAAACCCTAAACCCTTTGCTAAACCCTCAGCAGCAGCAGCTGCTGCTGCTGCTGCTGCTGCTGCTTCCGGCGCTGTGCTTACAGACCACAAGTCGCTGTCCTGCAGCAACGCACGAACCCTAAACCCTAAACCCTAAACCCTAGACCCCTAACCCTCGAAGCAAGGCCAGAAACACGAAGGCTCCGGGCGCCCAGGGATGACCTGCTGCTGCTGCTGCTGCTGCTGCTGCTGCTGCTAAGTGAGCAGCAGAAGCAGCAGCAGCAGCAGAGCTGTTTGCATTTTTCAAACATCTCAGCACACACACTCTCCTGCCATTTATTCTCTGATAGAGGGCTTAGCAACGAGGGTTTAGGGTTTAGGGTTTAGGGTTCAGGGTTTAGGGTTTAGGGTTTAGGGTTTACGCGGGTAAGGTTCGTGTCCGGCGCCGTCATGTCTGAGTGGTGTCTTGAGGGGGCCCCCGGGGAGGGGCCCCTGTGGCACGTCTGGTGTTTCATCTTCTCTAAACCCTAAACCCTAAACCCTAAACCCTAAACCCTAAACCCTCACAAACCCGAGGCCGGGGTGAGAGGCAGGGGCTGCGTGGGTGTCGGCGGTAGCGAGGGTTTGAGAAGGCGGCCGCATTTTAGCGTGAAAAGAGATAAACCCTAAACTAGGGTTTAGGGTTTAGGGTTTAGGGTTTGGGCTCTGGAGGCTCAGTGGTCTGGTTCAGCCGCGCACGAAGACGCCCACCGGGAATGGGAGATCAACAACCCTAAACCCTAAACCCTAAACCCTAAACCCTAAACCGCCGCTTACTGGTTTTGCAGTTTATATTGCGCTGCATAAATGCATTAAGTTGTATAGACGTTAAACCCTAAACCCTAAACCCTAGGGGGCCCCAGCGGTTCGCTGCGCGCGCAACCGGCCTGGACCCTCCAAGGGTTTAGGGTTTAGGGTTTAGGGTTTGGAGTGCTCTTCAGTTTCTGGCTTGCAATTTATAAAAACTGTCCTTTCGCTTTAATTTGTCTTCTTTATCGAGCGCAAACCCTAAACCCTAAACCCTAAACCCTAAACCCTCGCTCGTCGGCTCGACGCTGTCTCCGACCGCCGCCGACAATCAGGCCTACTAACCTAAACCCTAAACCCCAAACCCTAAACCCTAAACCCGAAACTCTGCCTTTCTTAAAAAAGGTTATTCATGGCTTTTTGGCCTTCGCATTGACCGTGGCGAGGGTTTAGGGTTTAGGGTTTAGGATGCGGCTTGCTGAGCTCTGAAGATGAGCGTCGGCAGCAGCAGAAGTTGTCTAGGGTTTAGGGTTTTGCTATTCCTCTTTTTAGGGTTTAGAGTTTACAAATCTGTGTCTCTAGACCCTTCTGTTTCTCTGCAAGCGCCGCTGGCCCCCGACGGGGGTTTGGGGTTGCCGCCAAACCCCGATTTAGGGTTTTCGCCAAACCCTAATTCAGGGTTTCAGCGCTTCGCAAACTCCAATTTTGCTGCTTTTTCTTCCCTCTGGCCCCCCCTGGGCCTCTCGAGGGTTTACGGGGGTTTTCTGCAGCTCAAAAGTGAAAATGAGGAAACCCTAAACCCTAATTCATCTCAAACCCTAAACCCTAATGAGGAGGAGGGCGAGGGCGGCAGCGAAGCAGAAGAAGCATCAGCAGCAGCAGCAGCGCCTGCAGCAGCAGCAGCAGCGGAAGAGGAGGAGGAGGAAGAGGCTGGAGAGGAAGCAGCAGCAGCACCAGCAGCAAAGCCCGCAGCAGCAGCAGCAGCAGCAGCGCCGACGGCGGAAGCCCCCACAGTCCTCCCCGAGGCCTCAGCAGCAGCAGCAGCAGCAGCAGCAGCAGCAGCAGCAGCACCAATGC